CATATGTCAACTTCAATGCATGTGAGTGTGTCTGTCTATGTATTTGTATGTGCATGTTTGTGTTCGCTTATGCATGAAACCCGAAGTGATGGCTCAAAGTTAGCCAATCGTCAATCGTCTTCTGGTGGTACCGACCTTCGAATCTCTTTACCCCCAACACTTTAACTCGAAATGGAAGTAAGCTAAACAATTATGGAAAAAGCGATTCCTCAAAACCCAAATTTTCTTTGCATATACGTCGTATGATAGACATCCTCAGAGTAGATGGTATCATTTCTACAGCTGGATTCAAACTGACGAGTCGAGAAATTTCACTGGCATATCATTACACTGCTTTATAGCTTCCCTCTATTTAAACTCTTTGATGCAGTAAAATGTGAGTTGGTTAGTTTAAGTCATATGCCATAAGCATGTGAGTGTGTCTGTCTGTATGTGTGCTTATGTGTTTTCATGTACTCGTAGATACACGAAATCAGCAGTGATGGCTCAAATTAATCATAAGCGAAAAGTGAACTCTCTTCTCGGTCACAAGATTCGATTACAGTAACCATCTTTATATTTTATTCATCATTCCGATTGCACAAATTCTCGAGGTAGACATTATATTTGAAGTAACCAAATCACTCTAAATCTCATCAAAGAGCAGCATTGAGGGATGAGCCAATGAGTTTTTCTAACCTCCTGGATTCAATAGGATTGTAAGAATGATACCCTGTTTTGATTGTGTCCATCATGTGATGAACGAAAGCTTGGCATCGAAGATATGAACAGCAAGATGGTGTACCCCCCGGTCTAAAAATCAACCAAGTCCACGGTCTGATGCCGGTATTTCTAATTTCTATTCTAGCAGACGACTTCGGACAAAGTGCGTTATACTACATCGCTCTGGCAACAAAACCAAGTTGCGAAAACGAGGTCAACCCATTTCTAGAAAGCTTGGCATGTTTTCATCGAAATCGGAGAAGATTGCCTCAGAAACAAAATCAACAAGAATGTTCCGGTGGAGCCAATCGACAGATGCTCGAGAGAAATCCGCATCGTCTTCTTGAAGGGTCGAGCATCAAATCTCTTCATCAACACTTTCGCTCGAAATGTAGGTAAAGTCAACAGTTTTGGTACCCTGCTTGGCCTCGAGAATCTTGAGCTGACCTCTGTTAGCACCCGGTCGCCGCAGCGATTTCGCAACAGAGTGCCTCTCATCTCCATCGGTCTTCCGGCATCAGCCGGGTTGTCAAGGCCTGCGCAACCGCGCAGCCTCAGCGAGGCCCGTGGCGAAGCTGAGGCCTGGTCCGACTCGACCGAGCGTCGGGCCGATTCGAACCGATCTCCTGGCAGCGGCGACTCGTCACCGTCTCTGACCCCGACATTCTCGCCGTCGGTAGCACGTAAGCCGTTGCCCTCGAGTCCCGTGGCTCCCTCGAGTCGCTCGAGTCCGAGGAGGAAGCTGTCGTCGCCGGACGATTTGGTTGGCTCCACGCCGACCTCCAAACTGGCAGTTGACGCCGTCGCCGTCGCCGTCGCCGTCGCCGCTGATGCACCAATCTCGTCGTCTCCAGCGTTGACGCAACCGTTTCGAGTCCCCTTTTCTCGGTCTCCCAACTCGGCCGGTCCGTGCGATAACCCCATCGACTGGCGCATCTTCATGATGCCACGGCTCGAGCCGCACCCTTCGCCGGTCGCCTCCGCCCCGGGCCGGAGCCCCAGAGCCGCGCAACTGCCGCCATTTCTGCAGGTTAGCGCGTTTTTCGTGTCGAGCAACGCGACTCCCAGACTCGGCTGTCTCGCCGCGAACAGACTTTCCAATTGGGAAAAGTCGAGTTCAATCGGTTTCGCCGTACACGCCTCGTCGGCGTCGGCCCCGACGACAGACTCTCCACGAGCCGAAGTCGCCGACTCGGCG